GGACACTGAGCCTGCTCCTCCTCCAGACCCAAAACACGCTGGACACTGAGCCTGCTCCTCCTCCAGACCCAAACCACACCACATCCACAGCCAAGGGCTCGGAGTGTCAGAGCTTTGGGCAGCTCTCAGTGTGCAGGAGGGAAGGAGTGCCCAGCTCAGCTCTGAAAATGCCAATCTGGGAATTCAGAGCACTCTGCCCCCCAAGAATGACCGCCCTGCTGACCAGGAAAGCACCTGGACTGGCCTCACAGAAAACCAGAGTTTCCTGAGTCAGGGCCTGATGAAATGGGAACAGCCAACACCAAACCAGGCAAGCAGGTCTCTTACTTTGCCAYCATCCAGCCCGTTCTCTGATTTTGAATCAGCTGCTCCTTCTTCCCTCTCTTCATCCAGCACCTTTTCCCCACAGGRCACGGGGTCAGCAGTGGCAGCCAGGCTGGGCAGCAGCTCTGCCCAGGGCACATCCATCCCTGCTGGGCTCCTCTGCCCCTCACTCTGGGGCAGCTCCTCAGCCACAGAAGCATCTCCTTCCACCTCAGCATCTTCTCTGGCCACTGCTTCATCCCCAGCATGTTGCTCCTCCTCGTTGTGGGCAGACAGGCTGCTGTCAGCATCGCCAAGGATGGGGACTGGAGAYGGAGGGCACGCTGCCCCAGAATCCAAGGAAGACTCTGGCACTTCCTCGGGATGTCTTGATTTTAAAGACTCCTTCTAGGCAGCAAGTCAAACACAATTATAGCCACAACATTCYCTCTGGGGGATGCAGCCTCAGGAACAGCACAGGCGATCCTACAGCAAGCAGCAAAACCACAAAGCTTTGGGTGACTTCAGGACCTGTTTGACTTCTTTTCTCACAGTCCCACTGCAAGGACAGGGACTCCATTAACACAATCTCAGTCATTTCTTCACCTCTGACTTTTTTTTTTTTCCATCTGTTGCTTTTTTTTTGTTCACCAGGTCTGGGTGGATAAGGGTGGCTGTGCAATGCCAACTGGGAGCACCCCACRTGCTCCAGAGCAAACCCATTTATGCTCCCACATCGCATCTGTTCAGTGAGAGATGGAAATTTGTAGAGAGAAAATGGAGAGAAATGGAAATTTGAGAGACCAYGACGGGACACTTCACTTGTGCCTGACATTTGAAGCAGAGGAGAGCAGTGGGACAGACTGGAGGGTGGGCAGTGCCTGAAGCCACCACTCAGAGCTCAGAAGGAGCCCATGACTAACACAGAAGGATGAGAGATGGGGAAAAAAAACAACCCCACATTAAAGCTGAGTCACCCAAAGGTTCCAGCAGCGGGGAGGCCACACCACTGCCCGTGGAGGAGAGGGGAACAAGCAGGAGCAGCTCCCTCATCAGCATTCACACAGAGCTGCTYGCACGTCCCCCTTGCTCGCTGTTTTATTAATGCTGTGGTGTCTTGTCAAACACTCCCCGCATCCTGTGCACGCCGTGTTCCGTACACTGAGCGCATATTTTAGCGGGGTATTTTTATCAGAGTGCCCCTGCAACGCTGGCAGCTCCCAGCCCAGAGTGCAGTGTCCCTGTGCCATCGGTCTGAGACATCCCCAGGCTGAGATGGAGAGAACACAGAGCCAACCTCGGGCACTTCCCAAAAATSCTGCAGCTCTGAGCCTCACCTGCAGCTCCCTGTGTGACAGCTCCTGGCCAGCAGAGCTTCCCAGAGTCACTGCCAGCCACASGAGGCTCATTGGGGGCCAAAACCCAGAGAAAATCGAGCAAGGGGAACTCCTTTAGTCACCCCCGAGCTTCATTTCCTCTGGGGATTAGGGAGGCTGGAAAGTTCTGCTCCTTCTGGAGGACAGAGTTCTCCCRAGGACATCCCACCAGGGGAGCTGGCAGCAGCCAGGATATCCCAAATGAGGCAAAAAGGATTCCGTGCTTGAGCCCAGGATCACACACACACCACAATACACTGATATACCAACAAAAGGGCTTCTCTCCAGGCAAGCTCACCTCAGMTGCTAAAATATCCCAGAATAATCCCTTTGGCTGGCAGAATCCTATTTTAATGGCAATTACAGGCAGTCCTTTTGTTAGCACCACACCTTGATGGTCACAAATGAAACGCTGCAGAAGAGGGAACTGTGCCACTCACACAGGTGGAGGAGGAGGAGGGAGGTTTTTTCCTCCTGCAACAACAGACTGGATTTTCTACAGATTTCAGAGCTGGACAAGTCACTTGTGTTATGCTGATCTTTCCAMAAGCTTTTTACCTGCACTGAGGGGCACTTGATGATGGGAAATTCCTGCCCATCAAATCATCACTTCCAGCGAGCAGCACTGAACTTTAACCAACAACAGAAACAAAAGCCAAGCAGCCACAGACTCACAGCACAACACCAGAAGCTGCCTACTGCATGCAAAGCACGGTGCAAGCAGGACAGGGGTGCCAGGGAGCCACTGTCACCTCTCCCAGGCTGGCAGCRTCCTCCTCAGGGCTCTGGTGGCATTGGGGAGCAGCTCCAGCAGTTTTTTGGGGGCTGCCAGGGTTCTGCTGCTCCTCTGTGCTCTTCTCCTGCTGGGGGGACACAGCCACTGGCACAGCTCCAGGCTGGAAGGGGTCACCCCATCCACACACACACACAGAAAGCTCCAGATGAACAGCTTTCCTAGGAGCTCACAAGCCCACAATCCCAAACATGAAGCTGTTGGGAGGATTTTCCAGCTCCATGAACTCGTTGCTCCACCAGAGCCTTCCCATCTCTGGGTTCCCTGTTCCAACGCTGCCTCCACCCCACCCAACCTCCTGTCTCAGCAAATCACCAAAAATTTCCTCTGAATACAGGCATTCAACCCTGACCACGGGCTACATCAGATCCGTTTTTTCATTATTTCCACAAACCCTTCCCTCCTGCTTTGCAAGGAAGCCAGAGAACAGCTCAGGCTCTGGAGCAGCTGAGGCTCGCTGCTAGGAATGCTTTTCTACTGCCATCTCATGGAGCTACMAAAGAATTCTATTTTCCAGTCGGGGCAGCGCTATCTTATCAGGACTGGGCTATGACCCATCTGGGTTAACAGCCTGGCTGTTGGGCAGCAATTGCCATTCCATAATAGATTCCCCAAGCCCCATCCCCGCGGCACTGAAATGCCAAGACAGCTCTTTGTTCCTGCACACATTAACATTTCAGTGAGGAATTGGGCCCCCACAGGCTGCTTGTTGTCTGGAGATGAGAGAGTCAGGGCTCTCTTTGTCACATCCACTTTAGCATAAGCCTTTGCAGATCCTGCCCAGCGCCATGAATAGGTTCTCCAGCAAAGTACTTTACAGCTTAATTTTCGTGTGCTGTGAAAAGGATAAGGGAAATACTCTAAAACACTTTAAAAGAAATTAATTTGCCTTTCAGATACTGGAACAGGATTTTCAAAGCGGTGAGAAAGGATTAATGTCAGCACAAACAGTCGGGCCAAATCACCAGAGCTGCTTACAACGCACTTCCCATTGTGCCCTTGTCATCTTAAGGCTGATCCCGGCTAAGGAGGCACCGGSAAAGCTCAGAGTCTGCACAAGGCCTTGGGTGTGCTGAATGCTCTGAGTCCCAGCCACGGGATTTATCAGCAGGGAGAGAAAAAAGCAAAACAGGGCTTGTGCTGCTGCGGGAAGGTGGCCACGTGTGGGTCACAAGGATTCCTGTGGGGCTGAGTGAGGGTGCAGTTCCATTCTGCTCAGCTTCAGCTCAGAGTCAGCCTTGTCCCCACACCCCATAAACACCATGGAACAGAAATGCCTCTTCCTCCCGGAGCCTTCCTCCCACACCAATTGCAGCAGCACCTAAGACCTGAGACCTGCTGTTCCCTGGAAAAGCAGATTTCCACCTTGCCCTCCTCGCCTGCCTGGCTTTATTTTTTTAATTTGAGGATGAAACAAAGCTCCAACCTGTGCAATGACATCTCCTCAAGKCCCAGCTACCAAATTATAACCACTTGAAGCACAAGCTTTCCTTTGACACCCACCCCACTGTCACCTGGTTGCTCACACCCCACAGCCCTGCTGCTGTGCCTTTCTCTCCATCACTCTGCTCCAGGTTGTTCCTGCTCCTAAATAACACAGGAAATTCATCCCTCTGCTGCCCCTCTCATCCCCTGGCAGTGCCACAGCTCCTCTCCCACCCTGGCAGCTTCCCCTGCCCATCCCATCACCGTGCTCTCACCTCAAAGTCCAAACTGCCTCCCAAGGCTTCAACATCCAGGTACACGTTTTTTAACAGCCTTGACGGCCCATGGAAACTCTGAAGGATTTAAAAAAAAARAAAAAGAGATGGCCAAAATTGAGTTCTGAGCTCTGCAATCCCACAGAAGGAAAGGRGGGATTCCTCAGCAGTGAAATCCAGCAGAGCCATGGCAGTGCACCTTCAATTCATCTTGGAATGGCACCGTGGCAGATGCTGGTTTATAGGGATTACTATGGGAAAATAGGATTAGATGCTTTTTGGGGACCAAAGAGTGCAAAGAAAAGGCAGCACAAATGGAAGCCCAGAGGCAAATGGAACAGCCATTTCCAGGGGAGCATCRGGAGGTTTCAGCACTCTGGTAACAGCAAGAGCCAGGGCACACAAATACCTCGTTTTCGCTTTCTTCCTCTTCATTTCTCCATTTCTCTGGCACTGCCATGTTCAAGGWCCTCTTCTCTTCACAGATCAAGTCCAGCAGGTTCTTGGTGTGGCTGGTGGGCTCAGAGATGTGTGCAAGCTGAGAGGGCCAGAGGAAAGGGAAACAGAGACCCACTGAGACACGGAGCAGCTGCTGAATTCTGGGGGAGCTCAGTTTCCTACCACTGAACATGTTTGGATTTTTGTGAAGGTGATTATTTCTATGCTTTGCACACATTTTGCTTTGCTCTCCTTTAAGGCATCGATTTCTTAGCCATTTAACCAATTTTACTGACTCCCCCAAAACCACTTTTTAATAATCAATCAATCAATCAATCAATCAATCAATCAATCAATCAATCATTCAACATGGTTGTAAGCCTTACAATCATCAGGACAAGAGGTTTTTTAATTTTCTCAAATATAAATTATTAAATTTATTAAATTGTATTATCTATATTATTTGTCATGCTTCATTTGGACACCAAATTCTAATAAAACTTGACTTTTTTCCCCTTCAATAGTAATTGAAATTCTTTAAATCTGCTAAACATAGCAGAAGAAAGCTCACCACTAATTTAGCACTGACCTCCCTAGGAAAAAATACAGTTTTTTAACATACAACAGTATTTTTAAACTGCCAGAAGATCACAAATCCTGTCATTTGAGTGTCCCCACACCAATGCATTTCCCAGGGAACAGGGAGCCTCACCTGAGCTCCTGCCCTGGGGATGAGGTTGGAGTCKGTCACACTCCCCATGTCCAGGTCCAGGGAGCCACGGAAGATGATGGATGAGGATGGTGTGAGGCCACGGAGAGGAGAGAGGGTGCCCAGGGGAGGCTGGATGGGTGCCAGCTGGGAGCCTGGGGGCTGGAAAAGCACAGGGAACACACTGGGAGGACAGCACGGGGGTGCAGCTCACACTCCTGACCTTGGGATGGGACAAAGAGCCCTGCACAGAGACCCCACAGCAGCAGCCACCAGCACACGGGACAGGGAAGGAAACAGGGCTTGATTTTACCTTCCAAAAACCCCTCAGAATGGGTCCTGAATGCTCCTGTCCCTCCCAGACACCCCAAGTGTGTGTGTGCTCACTACAGAGTGTCTCACAGCCAGAATTCAAGGGTTTTTTTTTCCTGCCCCTCACCCAGGTTTGGGTTCTTTGTGTCCCAAGCTCATCCTCTGCCCATCCCTCCCCAAAAACACTGCAAGCAGAGCCCACTCACAGGGAGCTGCTTCAGGAACTGCTTCTCCTTCTTTTCCTTCTTCTTTTCTTTCTTTTCCTTCTTCTGCTTCTTCTCTTTCTTCTCCTTCTTTTCCTTACTCAAGAGGCCCCGTGCCAGCAGCTTCTCCCTCTCCCGGATGACCAGCTGCCTGTAGTGCTCATCACAGGGGTGCTCCCACGTGGAGTGGCCATTCACAAAGTTGAAGAAATAGATTTCACCGTTGGTATCTTGGCTGCAGGGCAAAAACAGCGGGGAAAGGTAAAAGGGCACATCAAAAATATAGCAGCAAAGATGTTCAAAAATACAGAGCATCTTTGCTGATGGTGTGACCACCTGAAGCTCAGGGAAGAAGAGTGTGATGAGCCAAGAGGCCAGAAATACATCAGTGTGGGGAAGCAGCTGTCCCAGGGTGCTCATATCCAGCTGCCCAAATGGTTTTTCCCCTTCTTCTGCCACCCCAAAAATCCCTGAGCTCCTGATACCCCATCTAACCCTACTCTCTGCCAGTTTGAAGCCATTCCCCCATCCTGTCCCTGCACAGGAATGGCCCAGGGCACTGCCAGAGCTCTCACCAGGCTTTCCACTCAGGGGGCAGCGGGGCCACCAGGCACTCCTTGGCCAACCACAGCAGCTCCGACTCCCTGTCGGGGTCAATCCCGATTATCGGTGCAAAATCCCGGATTTCTGCAAAACAGGAGAGGAATTTGTGTAATCGAACTGTGCGACAGGGCCACCCTCCTCAGCTAAAGCTGTGAGCAYGCTGGGAAATCCTGAGCCCAAAACAAAGCTGCCCAAAGCCACCAGCACTGTCCTGTGGGACACGGGGAGTGACACTGCAAAGTGACATCAGCTCTGCCTGTACTCTACCCTCTCCATCCACTTCAGAAACCAATTCCTGATTTCTGRATACACCTGGAAGTGACCTGAATCCCGTGTCCCATCTCCTGGGAGGACRGGCCACGCTCACCTTGCTCCTTAGGAACATAGGATTCGTTGTAGTCTTCCTCCAGAATGAGCTGGTCCCCGATGCGCACGGCCCCCGCCATGGGCCCCACACCTGCCAGGGGGAAAGAACCAGCAGAGTCACAAGTGGCCTTCAAAAATGAGAATTCCTCATCCCCCAGCACATGGCAGAGCCCTCCTGCTGCAGCACACACAGCAAAACCCAATCAAAGAGCTTCACACACACTTCCAAAGGCTGTGGAAATAGGGACAGAGCTGAAGGGGCACCAAGTGATAACCAGATCTTGCAGATATTCAAGTTTCTACAGAAAACGTGAACTTCAGGTGCTTTTTAACCAGGTAAAAAATAAGCTGAAATGAGAAGGGGAAGAGAGGRCAAGCAGCTTTCCCAAAGCACAGCTCTGAGAGAAATCCCAGGGCTGGATCAGCAATGCCCAGGGACAAAGCTGCACCTCCCCACATCTTGGCCTCAGCCACCTTCCCACAGGGTTCCTCCAAATGCTGTACAAAGCTCCTAATTTAATATATGGCTCATTGCTCATGATTTAACTCACAGGCCACACCACAGCCCTTACAGCCCACCCAGCACCAGGCAGCTGGAAATGACCATCWCACCCCAAATATCCCCACCTGGGGCTCTCCATGGCCACATTTGGCCAGCACAACCACAGGGGGCCCTGACCCACTGTTCAAACACACAATTGAAGGAAAAAGTCAAACATTTCAGCCTAAAATTCCCCAAATCCTCAATGCATAAAGCATTCCTCTGGTTCCCCCATGAGGCCCAGGGGTAGCTCCCAGGTGTCTGGGCAGCATTAACACCCCAGTGAYAACCATGCAGGGCAGGATCATCACCTGTAACACAGCCATCACCTCCCTCTGTCCTCAGCCCACTCTGTATTTATAWCTCTTATGTAAAGTAAGTCTCAGAAGCAGCAACTAATCCTGGCAGTTTCCAGCTGAAGATATTCTCAGGACACTCCAAATCAAACCATCACTGAGCTCACACCACTCCCCCTCCCAAACGTCCCCAATTAGAGCATTCAGATCTGGGCAACTCGCTGGGGGCATTCTGTTCCCATTGTCCCCCCCAAAATTAAATCAGCCCCATTCCCCATCCCTGGCATTGGCACTGGGGGATGAATTATGGGCTCACTCCTCTCTTGGAGACGCTACATCGCCGCACACGGGAAGATCTTATTGCAGCCGTTCCATGCTTGAAGGGCACCTATAATAGACAGGGACAACGGGGGACAGCGTTAAAGTAAAGAAAGGGATTTAGGTGAGATATTCAGAGGGAATTSTTYYCTGTGATGGGRGTGAGACCCTGGCCCAGGCTGCCCAGAGGRGCTGTGGTTGCCCCCTYCTTCAGAGTGTCCAAAGCCAGGCTGGATAAGACTTCAAACAACCCGGGATAGCRGAAGGTGTCCCTGCCCATGGCAGGGGAGTGAAACTGGATGATCTTTAACGTCCCTTCCAACCCAAAAAACCGATTTATGGCACTAYGGAAAAAAGACCAAAGCCTCAGTACAGCCGCCGCCGCGCCAGCCTGGAACCACGGAGAAAGCGCGGCTGGCGAGGGGGACGAACAGCTTTGCTTAACAGAGAAAAAAAATAGAGAAAAAACACATTTTCACCCATGCCACGACAGTACCCACGCCACACACGCACAGCCAGGAGCCGGCAGACCCCGCGTGGGGCGGGGCCGCTCCCCGCAGCCCCGGCTGCCCGAGGGAGCCTCGGCCGGGCCCGGTGCTTTCCCGGTGCTTTCCCGGTGCCGTTCCCGGGGCTGTTCCCGGTCCCGGTCCCGTTCCCGTTCCCGTTCCCTCCCGCCCGCCGCTCACCGTGGCGCGGGCCGGGGCCGCCGTTCCGCGCGTGCCGCCCGTTACCGGAGCGCGGGAGCCGCCGCCGCGCCGGGCCCCGCCCCCGCCACGCCATTGGCCGGCGGAGGGATGCGAGGCACCCGATTGGTCGGTCGGGAGGCGGGATGCATGACGTCACCGCGGCGGGGCCGGCGGGGGCCGCGGTTGCCATGGCGACGCGTGGGTACCGCCCGCGGAGCATCCCCGCGCATCCCGGCGGGGCGGGACGGGACAGCGGGACCGGGACGGGGACGGGGGCCGGGGAAGGGCCGGGGGACCGCACGGGGCCGGGGCGGGTCTCTCGGTGAGCGCTTCCGCC